TGATTTTACTTAACTTTTCTATTGACTATCATAATTGAATTGTGCAATCATAAAATAGCATTTTGTATATTCAAACAAAAATAAACAAGTAACAAATCATTTATAGAATATGAGAAAAAATGTAAGAAAAAAATTAATTTCACTAATAATAACTACAATTTAGTTTTTTCATGAAATTTAGAAGGCGAATAAATTATGAAAAGCCTTGTTTAAAGAATAAAAAATAAAAATTTAAAATTAATTTAGTATTCAATATTTTATTATACGATTAATATATACATATATTAATAAAAATATATAAAAGTGGGCCCTGGGCGGTTGCCTGGCCCCCCTACCTCACGGCTGGCCCTGGTATTCGATCATGTGTACATGAAGAAATGTAAATAAATTTTATACGTTACATCCCGAATGGCCTCATTGAAAGTTGCTTAGTATATATGTGTTATATATGTGTGTGTTTATATCATATTTAAAATCATAAGTTAGATAATTGAGATATCAAATTTTATAAATGTATCATGAGTAAAAATAAACGATATAAATATAAATTATTTAACTTACCTATGAATCTTTGTATTGATGCAATATTGGCTGATTATATATGACCAATTAATAGGATAAACGAATATTAAAATTATTATTATAGGAGTTGTGTACGAAATTTTAAAGGGTTTGGTTATGCTATTAAAAATAATTAACTAATTGTAATAAAAAAAAATGCTTAATGAGGTGAATAAGAATATAATTTAAATAAATAGTTTGGAAGAAGCTTTAGAATAGAACAACATTTAATTTGACTTTATTATACTAAAATAAATAAAAATTTTAATTTCCTGATTAATGCAAAAGTAATGAAAAAAATTAAATTCCTTACTAGTATATATAATTATGATCAAATTTATATAATATGATATTTATTATTAATTTTATTTTCTATTATTTTTTATGTATTTATGGATGCGTACGGACGGAGACCTAGTTGTCTTGTAAGGATGTGGTAAAGCATATATAGTTTGGCGAGGAAAAAATCAATGTAACGTGTGAACCATGGAACATATCAATCTATCCCGCCTTATATGCGCGCACTTATTTCAAATCTATACTAATATAAAAAAGTTGTTGGTAAAATTATTTTTAGTAACTTTGATCAAAAAAATAAATAGGTTGACTTATTATTAGTAGAAATTTTAAAAAAACACATGTAGATCTTTAGCAATAAAATCTAATCTCATTTTTTGTAATAAATTTGGAGATTCTTATACCAAAATCTGAATCCTATTTTTTTTTTTTTGTATCATTTTTTATTTTTTACCAAATCTGCATCCTATTTTTGTGGTGACAAGTTTGGAGATTCACGAAAAAAAATTCAAATACAAATTAATTTAAAACCGTGCAAATTGAATACAAATTTAGGAAATAAATAGTTGAATAATTTTTTCTTTAAAAAATGTGTGCAAATTGGATAAAATCACGTGCAATTTTTATTTTAAAACAAAATTGAAATTTGGATGGGCTATACATTCAAAATCGTATCCACCTTTTGGTAACAAAATTGGTTCATCTTTGACATTTAAAATCAAACTTTATCCAATTACTTAGGAAATAAAATTCAAATCAAATCATGTGCAACTTTTAAAATTTAAATGAACTGATGTTTTTGGATTCTTATGTTTTTCTTAATCATATTTTACTGAGAAACAGTTACAAAAATCTTAACAAAATATTCCGATCTTTTATTAGAATTAATTTCAAATCAATTTGTTTAGTAAAAAAATCGCTGCAATGTTAAAAATTTGGTTCCATTTTTAGAAAAAACGGATGATTTTTTTTTCACTTTTTTTTAACCAAACATTCGGATCAATTTGTTTGGTAAAAAAATCAGTGTATTGGTATGAAAATTCGGTTGAATTTTTAAGTAAAACAAATGATTCTTTTAATTTTACTTAATCAAAATTCTGAATTAGAATTAAAAAAAAAATGGTATGAAAAAAACCCTAAAAATATCTACTTTCTTTCTACTATAATTTTGTTTAATAAATAAGATCTCTTAATTTTTTTTTTAAAATATAATTTGTTAATTAATAACTAATAATACATAATTTTAGATAAAATTCGAACACACATATAGTATTTTATGTTTCAAAGAATCAAACTAAGAATGTTATACATAAGAAAGTGGTCAATAATATTTAAATTTTATTTTCATAATATTTTTAATGTTATGAGACAATTTAAATACAAAAGGTACATTTTAAAAATAAAGTAGGTAATAATGCTCTCGTAAAATTAAAGTGGAGGTTTAAATGGAAATATAATAATTTTGACTTTTTAGACATGCCTAGTCTTTCATTTTATCTAGCAAGTTTTGATAACCATGCGATGCACGGAGTATACTACAAAAAATATTTTATTATTTATATAATATTAAATTATTTAAGACAATATAAAATTCTATTCAACACAATCTTCAATTCAGTAATAATATTAAAGTTTTTTGTTTAAAATTATTATTTTTTCTACTTCTTCAAATTTTGTATAGGTGTTTATATAGTAGTCACAGGGTCGAGCAAGGCATAACAATTTACCCCTTGCTCGACCCTGTGTCCCTCTGGGGTGAATAACCACATTTTTATAGGTATTCACCCCACATATATATATATATAAGTATATTAAATATTATAAATATATAAGATCACATTATAATTATATATGCATAGAAATTGCTTACATGTACTTAAAAAATTGTTGGTTATCTTAGTTTTATAATTTTTTTATTAATTCATAATCTTCACAGTGTTTGATAATTGACCAACGTCTAACCCATAATATTTATCTTCCTATATTATAATTCTAAGTGCATGAAATATTAAAATGTTTGATAATGAAATGTTAATTTTCAGTAACTTTAATCCTTATGCAACACAATTTTTTCATAGCTAAATATTTATTTATTTTTTTATAATTTTTTGTTTATGATATTTCCTTAAATCAATTTTCAACCTCAATAACGAGTTAATTAGTATCCATTTGAATAATTTTAGAATATATATAATTTTATGATTACCAAGTACTATAATTTAAATTATGATAATTGACTATTTTATTTATTTATTTTCATTTATAAACTAATACATAATAAAACTGATTTTTTTTTAAAAGTTGAATAGTTTTTGAATGTACATAGATATTCCTAAGGTGTAATTTATAATTTTGAATTGAATTCAACCATAAAATATTAATTTTATTAATATTTATTTTAATTTCAACAGTATATCATACAAATGATATATTCAATGAATATTTACCTTTTTATAGTTAACTTGACAATATTTTCAAAAAATTATTAATGTTTCACATTATTTATGAGGTTAGTATGATTGAAACAAAGTTATTTTGATTATTTTATTATATATTAATCTTAAGTACTTCTAAACTATGGATATAATTAATTAAATTAATATCCACAGTATTTAATCAAATCAATTTTTATAATATTTTTTAATTATATCAATAAATTTCAATGAAATTGATATTGAGATCGTGCTGAAAACATATCTAATCAATCTACCGTCAAAATAATTCAAATTTAAGTTAATTATAGTTAACGAATACCAACCATTGAGTACACAAAAAATAAATAATTATATATCAAATAAAATTTTCATCCAAACCATGTCAATTATAACAATATAGATTAATACAATATATTGATATAGATTAAATGCTTAGAATTTAGTACACACCATCATTGACTAGAATTTATGTAGACTTTTGGACTAGGGTGTGTTATGGTAGTGGTTCTACTCTACCACTATAATGATATGAATAGAAGAATAAGAGTTCAAATAGTACTCTTATTTGGTTTAGTTATGGAAGGAACGAGAAAGAAATGTACCAAAAATATTTTGTTTGAGAAAAAGGAAAGAAAATAAAATAACAATTATCTCATCACATAGTTGAGCCCACCCCAACTACTACCACTAATGCCTCTCTCTCTCATTGACTCATACAATCACACCCAAAACACACTCACCCTCGCCGCACACAAAGTCACACACCACACACACACAGTACTCAAATTCCACAATTCACAAATTAAAAAATGTAACATATTATAATACTTATGTACTAATATAATACTCGTGTATTACATCGGTACTTGTTAAGAAAGTTATATTTAAAATTAAATAATAATGGCAACAAAATTATTTTAGTTTTTAAAAACATTTATAATTAAGTTAGTTTAAATAATTTTATTTTTTTCAAATTAATTTTAATAGGTAATTTAATTTTAATTATAAAGATAAATAAAAATATTTATTTATTTTGTGTGTATAATATAATTGTCAAATCGAAGCTCATCAAGACATGATTAATTTGATATATTATATATATAAATTTATTATAAATAAAAAACTTTGTAACTTTTAAATATATTTATAATTTAAGTTTTGTTATAATTTTAAAACAAAAATTGAAAAAAAAATTATACCTTATAAATCACGTCTACAATAGGAAATAGCATTACAACATAATTAATGTCTCTTAGAAAAGACAATAAATATTCAATATATTTATGGATATTCCAAACCTAGTTACTTTTGGATTAGAAGTAAATTAAAATTCATCCAAGTCAAACAGCAAAATTTAAAAATCTGCCACATATGATTCCAAAGCGTTCGAGTCTGCCACTTAGACTCAATATATTCGACAATTATATATAAGGGGACGAGACATATCTAACAATCAGATCGCTTCAATAGAAAATGTATTTTTCAAAAGCCATTGTTTGTCTGAGAATTGTTGAATTCCTCCTAAAACCGTTCTGCAGGACTCTATTTAGCAGTCAATGGCAACAATGAATACAAAAGTATATTTTAATAAGCACCATAATCAAATTTATAACTTATTCGGTTAACTTATAAACTTCACGTATACAAATAACCTTGGTTTGGTCGGACGGACCTTTTTAAAAAGCTCAGCCATATCTCTAAACTTCATTGAATAGCTTTTCAAATAAGCTCGTTGAAATTTTTACCAGAAGCACATACAAACATAGAGAGAGAAAGAGAGAGATCTTCAAAACATCATAAACCAGAAGTAATAAGCTCTATCCACACAGACATGAGCTATTTATTTTCATCTACTATTCTCATAACGCACCATGGCGTATCGTATATAAACCCCCCCAACCGAAACTTTTACCGTGTTTGATTTACAAATTCCGTTGCCTCTAACGCAGCACTAGTCATCTTGGACCATTTCCTACCACTCAAAACACTTGTCATTTTCGCTCAATGAGAACTAAACTTCACGAGCCAAATTTCTTATTTCGAACAAAGGCAGAGTCCTCGTACCAAGTCTGCCCATTTTCTTCTTAAAAATAAACTATGAGTTAGATATGTGTTACCATAGAGGCCTCGTCCCACATCAACCTTCTCGAGTTACCGGATGGTGTGGTTTTGATGGGAGCCCATATGTCGGCACCATTGCTGCTCACGACCCCAACGGTTAATGAAATCGGGACAAGACATAAGCCTTTGGCTTTGAGGCTGCATTGTTCTTCTCCATCCTTGAATAAAAACACATCATAAAGTATATCACAATAGTCAGCCATTTGTGTTAGTTTTATGTGACCTAGAACCAGATCAAAAGACTCAGCACAACATTTTCTACTAGTATGTCGACAAATTCTGTGAGAAAAAATATTACAAAAGATACAAGACGTTAGCAGTTTGTATTACGGAACTTCATTCCACAAGGAATCAAGAGAGCATATCTGTGAGGCAAACAATTGCTTCTTTCTACTTTTTTTTTTTTTTTTTCTTTGCAAATAGACAAATATCAGGGGTACTTTCCATCATAAATAACAAAAAGATAAATGTCAAAGAAAATTGATTCTGGTTAGTAACCCAATCACGCTTTCTAACTGAACTACATTGGAAATTCATTAGTTGTTAATGCATACCTTTGTTGGTGTAGGGGTACTGCATAAGTATGGAGCGCTAAGTACCTGAATAGGCCACAACGAAATAAGAAATATAAAGGTTAGAAGGGCGTGTCTAACTTGGTTCGTATAACTTCATTTCACTTAATGTGTACTTATACCTTAACTTGCTCGTGAAGGAAACTTATGTAATCCAAGGCCTCCAGAAGGACTGAGGCTGTATCTGTCTGAAGTTAGATGTAAGAGAATTAGAGACGAGATAAACTAGTAAGAAACATGTAAACCGACGTTCCGTGATATGTTTTCTTAGAGGCAGATTATAAAATGCAACCCTTGAGGTTTAGTCTAATCTAGTTATCTTTCCAAATTATAAAATACAGTTTTATGGTAGAAGGTGCAATTCGTAAAATAGAAACAAATATGTGGGTATTCTGTAACTTGCTACATAGAAACTGTTTGATCAAAGAGTAGCTAACAATTATGAGAACAAGTTTTCAACCTCACATGCATCCAAGAAACACCATTTGTTAGCTCTTGGTGATTTTTGCATGTAAAAAAGCAAAGCTTATCATATTTTACGGTATTGCACCTTTCCATATGGTGAGACGAGTTGCTGAAGGGCAGAAATCCGTTCACTAATCTTCTCTTTCTTCTCCTGTTCCCAAGCAAAAATTACAAACCATGTCATTGGATGAAAAATTTGTGCATAAAAAACATTAAACTTTATCATCCGCAGAGGATAAGAGAGCAAGTGACCAACTTTTTTAAGTAAAACAAAGGAGTTATTGTAAGAACGAACGCAGGCAGTAGTAAGAGCCAAGTCCAAATGTAGTAGTCATTTAAGGACAATGCGAATTCAATAATTGGTTAACAAAGGAAAAGAATTTACTTTTTGATTTGCAAAGGAATATAACATGTTTGAATCTTCTGTAGGCCGAGAACAAAGGACCCTATCATGAGAGACTAACCTTAGACGTTAGAGGTGCATCACTCTTTAGCCTTTTTGGCATCAAGTCCATAAAACTGCTTTGATCAGTAGAGACAGGGCTTCTTTTCTGCTGCATCATTTTCTCGTATATTTTTACCTCTTATTTGATTGTAATTAGCAAAGAGTACACTATCTAATTATGGCCAGAGTAAGTCGGTCTCTGCCCCTACAAAAGCATAAATCGAGATGAAGCATAAATATCGCGCGCATTCACACTGTGAGAGTACAAAATCAAACAAAAATTGGACTAGACGATGAGAGTAAAGAAATAAAAGTAAAAAAACTAATCAGTTTACTTGGACATGGTGAAATAAGGATGCTAAAGTAAAACGCTAATAATACCATAATGCGCAAAAAAACAATAAAAAGTATACATTTAGAGTGAAGGAATGGATCACAACAATGTGTTCAGGGCAAAATGGGATTGAGGGACTTACTTTCTTGGAGTAAAAAATTTAGGGATAGGTCCTCTGATTGAGGAATAAGGCGAGAAAAATGAAAAACAAAGAAACAAATATTTCAGTTTTATTGAAATAAAGAGGACTGAGAAAATCACAGCATGTTAGGAAAATCTGAAGTGGGTCAGAAGAGCTCTAAACAGATGACTTCTGTGAGTATTTTGATGACAATATAGTATTTTTATCATGAAACAAATATCGGTGCATTATAATATATATTTGTGTTCTGTTCAACTAGAACATTAGTGCATAGGTCTAGAAATCCATAATTTACTACTTAAACATCATTTAATCAATTGGGAAATCTTATTAAATACAAATTCTGACACCTAATGGTAAAAGGAAACATTACTTTATTAATGCAGGCTAGCAAACATACAGACAAAGATGTCCTCAATCAGTTAATTATAATAGCAGCCGTCCATTATAAATTTATAATAGACGATGCACAGAGTAAGAGAAGAATTTTATATTTGTTATTAGTTTATTTTGTCAAAATTCTCTCAATCAAAAGTCTACTTTAAGCCCAGTAACAACATGCGATTCGAGAAAACAAAGAATGATAAGAGTCATCTAATCTAACCACAAGAAATGGTTTTGAGCTCCATATACCCGTGAAGGAGCTGCTCTTTTCACCTCATCAGAAAACAATATTTGACAAACTTATCAAATTAAGCACCCCTAGCTTTTTTTATTCTCCTTGATATACGCATAATGTTGAAAAAACATAATCAATATGCTGGGGCCCCATAATACAAAATTACTAATTGTTATGAAGCATGAATTCAGTCGATTTCATACACAAGAACTTAATAGTCTTTTGATGTAGTCCATTCAACTTCCATTAAAAATGGTACAATCAAATACTAAAACAAAAAATATGTGAAATTATTATAGAACAATTAGCCACAAGTCAAAGCTGGGAAAACTCGACAAGGCTTAATTCATTCCTAGAGAATATGTGAAATACGAATGACCGAAGTACAATCCAGCTTTAATTGTTCACAACATGAAGGTACCATCAAGGCTGACAAACACCACTAGAGCAAAAGCCATAATCTCACAAACAGGCCAAATTAGTTAAAGAACAAAAGAACTTTGCAAGCAGAGATGAAATTTTCCTGATAATCTCACTAAAAGGTTCGATAAAGCCTATCGCAAGTGAATAAAAATATTAAGAATGGTATAATAGAATAGATGAAGTGAGAGCCATCTCACGCTCTACAGACTACAGCAAAAAACCCAGAATCAATCAGTCCAAAATATAAACAACAATAATACCATAACATTCAAAATTTTGGTCTTCAAAATCCGCTTCAAGTTCAAGAATCCAAAAAACAGCAAGAAAAACTCGACTTTTGGATTAAAAATCAGAGCCCACCTTATGATTTCCTTAAAACAGCTATTCGAAAGAAACCCTTCCCTTTCCCTCTCTATCTTAAAGGGGCCTCGTTATTTATGCAAATATAAGGACAGAGCAAAACGTTTGATGAAATAAATTGGGAAAAAAATGGTACCTTACTCTGCTTGTATCTCTATGTCAATGCTGCATTTTACATGCTTTCACACACAGTCCGCACAATTAATGGATTTGTTACAATAAATAGTGAGTGAAGAGTAAAAACAGGGAGAGAAGGCTGAAGGGGGAAAGTGTGAAGGGAGGGGTTTGGAGGTTGTTTTCAAAAGTTTATTTTATAGTGTGATTTGTCTGAAGTATGATGCGAAAAGATAGTGATGTGGAAAGAAAAAGGAAGAGAAAGAAAATATACAATAAAATAAAAGAAAATGAATTTAATTTATTTGACAGCTAATATACAGCCATCTGAGGAAAAATTAGGGATATGGTGTTGGTTTTATTCTTTAAGTAAAATTTTAAGAATCGATAATTAAGTTGGTTAAATATAGTTTTTGATTATAATATAATTTTCGAATAGGTTGAGTGTAAGTGACAGACTCGCATTCTTTGCAATCTTACGTGGCAAGTTTTATTTTTTTGTCATCTAACTTGGACCTGTGGCAAATTTTATTTTTACTTGAGCAAAATTACAATTTTGGTCGTGCTGCTTTGGACTTGTGGCAATTTTAGTCCTTGGATCGGAGCATTTTTCAATTTAGTCCTGTAATTTAAAAAGTTAACGCAATTTAATCGTTCCGGTACACAAAAGTCAATATTGTGGTTGGAATTCACACGTGACCCGCAAGTGACGAGTTTAGGTCCATTTTCCGCAGGCATGGCATTGCAAAACGTAGACGTGGCAAAAAAAATCAATTAAAAAATTATCAAAAAAAAAAACACATGGGCATAACATTTGTCGAGCTCCAAATTATCACAAATATCTCAGCCTAAAAAACTCTCTGCTTGTTGTTTTCCCTCGACGAATGGAGCAAAACCACGCCACAACTTCCAATTGGCCCATCCCCACCGCCGCTTCCTCCTCCTCCCACCAAACCTCCAAATCAGCAACTCAAAACCAATCGAATCTCACATAGCAAATAAACCGGTTCGGAAGAAATTGAAATCAAAGAGGATTTCAAGGACCCGCCATCTTGACGAAATTACAACCCACCCGCCAGACGATTACACCGACAGGGATGACGAAATCAGGCCCGCCGACGACGACACTCGTCACCCGGACCCCCGACACCCAGTCGTTCGATGAGCCTCGGGCCTCTTGGGACGGCTACTACTTCACCAGAAAAAATCTCTCAAAAATACCCCCAATGCCCCTCAAAAACATTATCCCCACATGGTTTTTTTTTTGGGCTGAGAATTGTAATTTGAGGGAATTAATGACACCTCCTATCTATTTTAAAAAATTATTTACATTAAGACACCTCTATATTATTAAAGCAAATCTACCTTTTTTGTTTCCAGTTTTACTCCTTTTGGAACAGGCAAACAACTGATTTCCCGTTTCTTTTTTTTTATTATTCCTACTCTTCTTAACCGTTCCCACTTGTTTCTCTCTCTTTCCTATATCTCTTCCGTTTCTTCTTTTTTCTTCTTCTTCTCTCCTTTCTCTCTCCAAAACAAACAGTCCCACTTTTTTCTATCTCTCTCTTATGTATTCCGTTTTTTCTTCTCTTTTTTTTTTCTTTCTCTCCTCTTCTTCTCTCGAAATAAACCCTAACAGAAGGAAAAATTTAAAGAAAAATCCATCGCTTCGTGACCCAACGTTTTTCTAGTTAGTGCAAACGAGGATAGAGCATAGGATTCACAAACTCGGAAGAGGATGATGTTCTCGCATTTTTTTAGCCCGAAGAAGATTTAAGACAAGATTTGTAAAGGGGCTAATTTGTAAGGATCCACCTGCCATCATTCCTTCTGGAGAATGCGAATGCGAATGAGTATAGATATCTGTTGTCGGGACGTCTTGATGGATATTTATGGTCTTTTTTAAGATCATTAATATTACATTCATGTTCTATACGTGATTTATAAAGCATAATTTTTTTTCTCATCATTCTTTTAAAATTATGAAAAAATTACGAACGTAAATTATAAGTAGATTTAAAAATTAATATTTTATTTATTTATTATCAATTTTATATGCATAATATATCAAATTAATCAAGTCTTGATGAGCTTCGATTTGACACATAAATTGTACATACAAAATAAATAAATAATTATATTTATTGTTATAATAAAAAATAAATTACGTATTAATATTAATTAAAAAATAAAATTATTAAATTGATTTAACTAGAAATAGTTATTCAGTAAAGAAATTAAAATTAAAAAATTATTATTATTTTAAATTTTAAATATAAATTTCTTAACAAACACCCTTGTAGTACACGGGTATCGTACTAGTAAATATAAATACAGAATGTTTCAACATAATGTGTCGATTTTGTTGTCATTAACACTAATACGAAAATCGTGTACTCCATTTTGTTTAAAAAAAAGATATTTGAATAATAAAGAAGATATATAAAATATTTATATTTTTTTGTAAAATTACAACAAATAATGAATAATTGATAAAGTGATACCTATTTATAATAACATACATTTTTTACTCTCAAATTATTAAAAATTATAATCATTTCAATTATATTTATAAATTATACATATCTAACACAAATATTATTTACTACTCTACTAATTTGGGTTTTAAATTTTTTAAATTTTTTTTAAATATGATTATATTTTAACTATGATCTATATTAATTGAGTCACTTTCTCATCTTTTTTTTTCAAGTATCATATATACATGTATTGAATAAGTTATAATTCCAAAATAATCACTTGTCATTATACTATTTGTTTATGTTAATCTAACTAGTATTATATAATTAAAAATAAGATTAAAAGTTGAATAAATTAAAAATCAAACTATAATAAAATAATACTAATCACTTTTCATTTTATTTCCTAATGTTGAATTGTATAATAAATTTAGTGTATTTCTTTACCGTATAATAAATTTAGTGTAATACTTTATGGTAAATTTATTTTTATTTTTTTTTATTTTTAAGATAAAAATAGTTTCATTTGTATTTATTAATTTAGTTTGACATATAAATTTAAATTTTATTTATAAAGATATATGGAATTAATTTTAATTTGTATATTGATATGGATGTCAAATCGAAGATCAACAAAAAATGATTAATTTGATAAATTATATCAAAAAATGGACTATATATAAATTATTAATTTTTAAAATATTAACAGAAAAGTATGGAATTTAATAAATGAGAATATATCATATCGTTTTTGTATGGTAAAATTTGATTTGAAAAGGAGAAAAATGAGACAAAATAAATGCATAATTACCAAAATTCTAAACAAAATATTTATGTTAAATATCAAATCTAATTCCAAAACAATAATGTATATAAAAACTAAATTACGAAGTATTAAAATTTATAATGTCAACATTCAAAGTATGCGAGTTTGCTCCTTACGCTCAACATGTTTTGAATTAATATATAGGGGGAGACGTGAAAAGAAAAAAATTGATTTTGTGGGAATCCTTAGCTAAAGAACATGATTTATGTAAATGACCAAATTCATTTAGTTTTCACTTTACACAAATTTAATTAAAATTCTTGATTCATTAATGAATTCATTTTAATGTTTGTTGTATTAACTTTTACGATGAATTATGTTAATATCAAGTTACATTATAAATATCATTTATTAAATTCGCATTATTAAATGTCATGTTATCTTCTGAGCACTATAAAAATGTGCATTTGTGGTGACATACAAAACACAACAAAAAGAATAAGTCATTTTTATAACATTCTCTTTTTTCTCTCACTCCCACATCTTAGAGAATAAATGAGAAACTTGGCAACTGAACTTCTGGTCGAGGTGAATGTGTGAGATAATACAGTCTTCACACTTTGAGTCGTATTATCCTGTGAGAAAAGGCGTAGTACACGTTGCACAATATTAGGTTGTCTGTTTCTTCAAGGAAAACAATTTTTTTGTGATTCGGTTATACGTGTTCTATATCATATAAAAGTTCTCTTAAGTTGTAATTTCTTATAATTAATTTATATATTTAATAATAGAAATTTGGCTTCATATCACGTTCCAGTGGTTGATGTTTGTGGTTTCTATTTACAAATTTTTGACATGTATATATATTGAAACTCTTTTTTAATCCACCATTTATCACTACTTTTCCAACAATTTTGAAGAAACAGATTTTGTAATTTGAATGGAATTTTATTTTATTGTTATATGTATTTGTTTTATTATTTTTTGTTTTTATCAATTTATCATTATGACAAGTGGTTATGGCAATAAATCAGTTAATGCCATGTTGAGTTTAAAAGTCGATTTATTCGTCTTACCAGAAAATTTTTTGGGGCAATTTTTTAAACGTTGGAAATAAGGAATGAAAATTTGGTTTATTGATACACGAATTTGTTAGACCTAAAATATAAGATCACTAAAATAATTATGACACCATCCTCAGTCGAGCGACATCCCCGGCATCCGGATGACCAGGAGTATTATAGTCAGAAAGAAGGGCTCTTATCTCGAAGACATCATCCACAAATGGACCGACCTCATTCCCGACTGTGAGGCATACTTGTCGACCTCTTCCATATGAAAGGCCATCCTCAGGCGATCATATCCCGTCTGAGCACGATCCTAAGCCAATGTGAAATGGGTTACCGCCCTGAATCAGTTCCCACAGCTAAAAAAGATAAGCCACTTGCCCAACTGTCGAATACCCATCACCATGCGTCCAATCAGAAGCCTATTTGAAGAAATAATATTTTAAGGACCTCCTCTCTATAAAAAGAGGGGTCCGGAGGCCTTGAAGATCATCAAAAGATACACTCTAAATAGAAGAAGCTTTGTATAAATCAAGTTGTAGTCTTTCTCTTTAAGCTTCCGTTTGCATTTCTAGTTCTTCCGGTCTTTTAAAGGCTCTATACACAAAAGAGGCCCGGAAATGGATCATCCTATTAATAAAAATCATCGGTGTAGACGTCTTAGTTCGTCAACAAGTGAGAGTTATATATTCTTCTTTGTTTTCATTCTATCCATGTTAAAATCCACCCTCAAATATTAAAATACTACATAACTATAAGACCATCGCCCATTGGCGCAAACACACATCAACACCTATCATGAAAAGAACTTTGACGGTAATTCAGGTGACTGGTTCTGAATCAACTGATAAAGATCCCAAAAACAACTGAAATTTCTCAGTGGAACGAAAGAGATCAAATAGGTCGAGGAGATATTTTGTCAGCTTTGTCAAATACGCTCTTTGATACTTATTGTTCTTATTCGTACAATGCAAAGTCATTGTGGGATGAGTTAGATAAGAAATATAATACTCAAAATAGCAAGGAATCGAGAAGTATTATATTTTTAAGTTCCTAAAATATCATATGGTTGAAGGAAAGTCTGCATCTGAATAGACACATGCATTGATCTACTTGGAACATTTCTTAGCTGATGCATATATGAAACTTCCTGAAAAGTTTTTGGATATGTCAATTACTGATGAATTATTAAAGTATGTGAAAAGTTTTGGAATGTCGCTGAAGCATCAAAAAGGAAATTTGACCTTGATAATTTAATGATATCAGCCAACATATAAGAAGAACATCAAAAACAAGTTCATAATATGTTATTTGAACCTAAGGCTAATATATAAGTAATTAGTTCCATGAATTGGATAGGGTTTCTTTCGTAAGAGTCTTATAGTTCCATAAATTGTATTTGCAGATTTCGGGCCTTCAATTTGCTTCTTTTTTTTTCTGTTTAGAATCTAAGGGTTAGGGTTTAGGGCTTGTGTCAGGGGTTAGGGTTCTTGTTCGGTTGTTGCCAATCTTTTTCAGTTTTCTAGGATTTTAGCTTCATCTTTAACCGTTCTTTTTTTGTTGGTCTTTTTGTTGTGAAGGGTGGTTTATTTTCTCCGTTGAGTCCTTTCTTAGTGAGCTTCTGAGTTTTGATTGCTTCAATTTGTCAGAAAAGGAGAAAATAGGTATCACTTTGTCTGAAGCTGATATTAAGCCCGACGTCCAGGAGGGTGCTTTAAGTTTGATAGGCAATGTAGTTGGGGAAATAAAAAAGTGAATCTTGAGGGGTTGAAGCTACGATGAGTGTTGGTTTAGAGAACAAATCGACCATTCTTGATCAGGGTGTTGGGACATAATTTATTCCAATTCCTATTTCAATCAGAGGAAGATAAGTGTAGAGTGTTTAATGGAAAGGCTTGGTCGTTTCAGATACACATCTTGCCATTGCATTGCATCTCAACGAAAACATGATTGAAGGTGGAACAGATTTTTGACAAGGCCAGTGATGTTCTAGCTCTAGGATCAACTAGTTCAAATGGTAAAGTAATAAAAATTCTGGCTGAAATGAACCTGTTAGATCCTTCACGAAGAGGCACTAATATTAGGTTGGGGAGAGAAGAGCACTGGGTAGAGTTTAGATATGAGTATCTCTTAACATTCTGTGTCTATTGTGGAAGGATTGGACATAGTGACAGGTTGTGTGAGTTTTNNAAAAAGATATCCAGAGGAATTTGGTAAGAACAGGGCAGTTCGAGGAATGGCTGAGGGGATCTTTTAGGGGGTTTAGTGAGTCAAGAGAAAGGAGATATTCTAGCCCTAGGCGTGGTAAGCTGAATTCTGAGTCCAGTAAGGATAAAGTCATAGGAATAGAAGAAAAATTTTCTAGTGTGGTGGGGGAGATAAGTGGGTCTAGGGTTAAACTTGAACAGGATAGTGCTGACATGTTGGGTGGAAAAGAAAATCTTCAAATAGGAGAACTTAGCGAGAAGGAGGTTGAGGGTGAGATAGTGAAAGCTTTGTCTATGTCTGATCCTATGGATCTTGAGTCAAACAGACAGTGTCCCGAAACCTCTTTTGCCCAAACCTCTAGTAACTTAGTGAATGTGAAGATATAACAATTCAAGGGGAAGGCTTCTAGGTCTAAAGCTCAGAAGACCTTCACTAGAATAACTAGAAGAAAGGGTGTGGATTCCAAGGATAAAAGTGTTGGGATCTGTGAGGATCTCGTTATGTACAAATCACGAATTCAATAGCAAACGTAAACCTATGCGCAGCGGATCTAAAGGTTTGACGTAGAGAACTTACGGCTTAAAATTTACGTTGATCTGGTTGACCACGAACGGTTGACCACAATTGATTGACCGCAACACGCGTCTTGGGTTGCACGAACAAGATCAGATCAAAATCGGATCAAACGGATGCAAACAGATCAAAACGAAACTTGCAGCCTGGGAGCTTCCGGCGGCGCGTGAGGGCGCGTCCGGCGTCGTATTCCGGCGATCTCGGCGGCGATGGAAAGCTCTCGTCGATACGGTCGTCTGGGTATACTGTACGTCTCAATCGGACTTCCGGTTAGTTCTGTAGGTCAAAATCTATTTCGTCTCGATTTACCTACAGATCTTCTACTGTATTACTCAATACACCCTTCTTCAACTTGTACCAGTGGAGCAACAAGAAGAAGATAAAGCTCGAATGAGATCTAGAGAGAGAGAGAGGCGTGGGGCGTGCATATCTCGTGAATATGATTGGGATTCACTTCTCATGAGCTTAATAATGTATATATAGAGCTACAGTAGGGACCCTAAGGAGATTAGGAAAAGGGCTCCTTAATTAATTAGACTAACTGTGGGCCAAACCCACTCCTCTAATTAATTAAATAATATTAATGGGCCACCAACATTATATTATTGCACTCCCTTTCCCTAGCCCAAATTACATTTGAGACTCCAATAATAATTACTCGATTTACCTCCCCACGTTTAAGATATAATGTCCATTAATTAATTCGATTACTGACAATCAAGAATTAATTAATTTATTATTATTTCACCGAAGCTAGCGCTCGTTCATCACATTCTTATTATGCCGGAATTTAATCCACCTGCAGGGTTTAGCATAACAATCCTTCATGAACTCACTCCGGGGACATCATCAAACTAACGCACATGGTGACCGTAAATATCCTAACAGCACATCCTATATATAATAATATTACCCAAAACAGTAGGAATATTAATCCAGCGAACTGAACCTCACCCATGTGAATCAAAGTAATATATATTATATATATCTGCCTGTTTAATATCTTACGGGTTAAGAGAACGCAGTAATTAACCGAGGCCTAGTTCATTTACGACGATCAGTATAAAATGAACTTCTCATCTCTGGGATCCTGTTCAATACATAAATGTATTAGTGCAACTAATCAGTCAAGACAAACTGTACAGTTGACACTACAACCGTTCGGATGGGGTGTTCATGTCCATCTAGGTTGTGAACAACTATTCTTGTTCGCAAGTAACTGCAGAGTGATCTTCGGTTCGCCCGATGACGACCCACCCTATCTAAGTGCAGAACAACAGAACGTAGAACTTGTTTAATCTAACATGATTCTCATTCATAAAGGGTAAATGTGTAATATCATGCAAAGTCAAGCTTTCAGTATATAACACTAACAAAAAGGGTGGGCAGTGGATTTGGATCTTTAGGTGTTAAACAAATCTGTTTAAAACCTAAAAGAAAGTTAATGGATTAGGTTAGAGAAGAACCCAATGAAATTGTGTTTGAACAGAAAAAGCAAAAATTAAATGAGAATTTGTTTGAAAATAAAATGGAGAAACCAGCCATAAATGGTCTCAAGTTTCCAAATGAAGGTTATGGAGTGGAATTGTAGAGGTCTGGGAGGACCCTCTATAATTTCGCAATTGAAGGCTAAGGTTAGAGCCTACCTTCCTGATTTCATCTTATTATCTAAAAAAAAAGGTATTTATTCAAAGTGTGTAAAAATCTTAATGTGGGGGATAGATTAGTACGTTAGTCTTGTGGGTACTGTTGGTGGTCTTTTGCTCTATTGGTCTGAAAAAATTAAGGTTATTCAGATTGTTAATAACTGTTTTAGTCTTGAAGTCTGGTTTAATCTGGGGGATGAGTGTGATGTTTTGTGGGCATTGTTTGTGTATGCAAGTGTTGGCCCTGTTGTGAGGCAGGGTCAGTGTTGTGTAGGCATCAGGAGAATTGGGGTAAGCTCAGGCTTATTAGTGGAGATTTTAATGATATCTTGAATAATAGGGAAAAAAGGAGGCTAGGAAACAGGGGAAAGTAGTTTTAGTAGCTTTAGAGGGTTTATTCATGAGTTGGGTATTGTGGACTACCCTACATCAGGGAACCCCTTTACCTGGTCCAATAACAGGAGAGGGATATACTTTGTGGAAGAAAAGTTGGATAGATGTTGTGTCTCCCCTGACTGGTTCCTTATTGTTATGGTTACTGAGAGTCAAGTGGTGCAGAGTAGGAAGAGGTTTTACTTTGATAGCAAGTGGGTTAAGAGTGAGGGGCATCGGGATTGTGGTAGCGATTGTGGAAGATTAATGTTTATCGGCCTGAGTTATGTAGGTTTCAGAAGAGACTCATAAATGTGAAGTTAAGCTTGTTTCGTTGGGTTACTAACCATTCCTTTAATTCAGCTAATGTGATTAAAGCTTGTGATGCTAAATTAGAGATGTGGGGCACCAAGGAGGTTTTAGGGATTGGGAAGAGTGGATGATTTGTAATAAGGAGATTCACAAGGCTTATAGGGATGAAGAGGTTTTCTGGAAACAAAAAGCAACGGTAAGGTGGTTAAAGGAGGGAGATAGAAACACAAGCTTTTTTCAAGCTTGTGTAAGACAAAAAAAGAGTGAGAAATAGTTTGGAGAATCTGGATAAGATGAATGGGGAGACGTGTGGGGATAAAGAGGAAGTGTTAAAGGAAATGCTGGGTTTTTTTGGCAATCTGTTCAAGTCAGAGAGCAGTGTATCTAATGAAGAGATTCTGCAAGGAACTTCTAAATCTATAACAAAAGATATGAATCAGAAGCTCATTAAGAAGGTAGAAGAAGAGGAGATTAGAAAGGCGCGGTGGGACATGGACCCCAAAAAATCTCTAGGTATCGATGGCTTACTCCTCACTTTTTTCAGTCCTCTTGGGATTTAATTAAGGTTGACCTTTGCTCTGTTGTTGATAATTTCTTTAAGTGTGGCTGCATTCCTAAAGAAACTAGTAATACAACCATTACACTTTATTTTTATCAGTAAAAATAAATTTATAGGTAAAAAATGTGGTTCAGACAACTGAAAATCGGCTTGCAAAAGCGCAGCAGGCAACCACATGCTCGGTTCCACACTCGCGAGTAGTAATACTACGAGGACAACAACAAGTCAGTTGTTCACTCGGCCTCTAATCATGACACAAATGTAGGATACTTTAGTGCATCTCGACACTATGATCGGGACGACACCCTTCACGGCCCTAGGCTTCACTGAGAAAAGCAGGATCTAGCGGCAATAGGGTTGCTAGCACCGCTAGGAATTACATGTCTCGGCTGGCTGGTAGCAGGGACTAATGGTGCTAGGAGTGCTAGCGCCGCTAAGTATGACGTGTCTCGGCTTACTGGTAGCAGGGACTAGCAGCGCTAAACCTGACGTGGCGCGAGTGATGTTGGTCTGGCGGACTAGAGGCGCTAGGTGTATGGCACTAGTGGCGCTACTATTCCCATGCGATGGAGCCTCTGGGTCGTTAACCCCGCGCTAAGCCTTGCAACAACGCTAGGCAAGCTGGTACTAGCGGCACTAGGCCAGCTAGCGGTGTTAGCCCCTGGAGCAGCGCGGACGTTATCCCTTAGCGACCCCCTTACCGGCGCTTCCTCCTGGGCACTTGGCCAATCTTTTGCTTTACCTCTCTTGTCCCCAATGCAAGATATAAGCCTATCCAAACCCAAGGCTTTACCTCTCAAACTCGGCAAGAACATTCAGTATACCACGAATATAGTACGATAAACATGAGTTTTGATCTTGCGTACCACAAGGCTCAGAGGTTGAGCTTCATTCTCGAAAATCAACCTATTCCTCGCATTCCAAATAAAGTACGCGGTTGCCGCGAGCGCCGCTTTCTTCATCTTTGTTTGCCAATTAGCTCCTCTTGCCTCCTCCTTAGTCCATTTAAGGGCACTTTTTAGATTCAATGGCCTATGACGGAGGCTAATCCAGTCTCGAATCTCCTCCCATATCTCCAACTAAATGGGCATTCGAAGAAAAGGTGACCCGATGATTCATTAGATCCACTGCAATGGGAACAATTCCGGTCTTCCTCGAGGAACTCTAACCGGTCCTTTGTGCAGAGACGATTGAGCACACCTAGCCAAAGAATAAAGAAGTGCTTGGGGTTATTACAAGGCCCCCAAACAACCCCCATCCAAGGCTACAATGTACCACGGGGCCTTAGGAAGTCGTAGCAACTTCTCAACCCATCTTGCTTGTCTCTCGAACTCCAACGATGAAGTAAGGCTTTCGCGGCCTGCCCACTACCCGCCTTCTGTACCAAGATGCATCGAATCTCAAAGACATATTTGAAGAGGGGCGAGTCGTTCTTGTTAGTTTCCCATTCCCATATGGATTTACCCTCTCCAATTGTACCATAGGGTGCCCTTCTTGGTTTGCATGTTCCAGAGAGTACGTGCAAGCAACGCTTGATTCCAAGCATTCAAGTCTCGAAGTCCTTAACCCCTTCCAATCGCGGGAGGCATAAGTTATCCCAAGCAATAGAAGCGCTTTTTGATCCCCAAAGAAATCGCCTACAGAATTGGACAATTTTGGTGCGCACAATAGTAGGCAAGTGGAATATCTCTAACCAAAAACACTTAATACCTTGGATAACCGAGCGGATAATCTCCACTTTCTCGGCATATGAGAGTGTATGGCCATTCGAACCACTAAGTTTAGCCTCGATTTGCTTGACCAAGCCCTCAAAGAGTCTAGCGGTGAATTGCTCCGTGGTGAGAGGGACACCAAGGTACCGAAAGGACATTGGACCACATTGCAAGCGGGTTTCATCGAGGATTGTTGCCCGGCTGTCGTCTTTTACTCCCGCCAAATAAATGTTTAATTTTTGGACATTCATTTCTAACCCCGATTTGGCCCCGAAGTCTTTGAGGCAATTCATGAGGATTTGTATGGATGAAGGATCACCTCGGGATAGAAGCAAAAGATCATCGACGAATGCGAGATGTGTGATTTTGAGGTGCTCGCACATCAAGTGGAATTTGAAGTTCGAGCCTTCCATCGTGTTGCACTTGATGAGTCGAGAGAGGTATTCGATGCATATCACAAAA